TTAGAAGAAGAAGAATTAGAAGAAGAAGAAGAATTAGAAGAAGAAGAAGAAGAATCCAATGCCTAGTTTAGTGAAGAAGGAAATAAGACTTGAATTACGGTGCTAATAGGGTGTGCAGTCTATCTCCCTAACCTAACTGTACCTACTCTAACGGTGATGCTAGGTCGGGTTAGGCTAGGCTAGGCTAGGCTAGGCTAGGCTAGGGTGGTGGTGTATGACAAAACTGGCATGTGACACGTGACCTATAATGCGGAGTTGTTCGTGCGGACTAATTGAAATATGATGTATGTTGCGTGTTGCTTATGGTCTTGTGGTTGGTATGTGGTATGTTGAATATGTCTACATGAGGCATCTGTTTGACGTGTGGTGGATATAATAAAGTAATGGATATGTGGTATGTGGTGTGTGCTATATAGAGCCGAGTATGTGGTGTATGTTGTATGAGGCATATACGTTAAGGTCACTGTTTGTATGGTTACTTTAAGGTCAAATCATAGGTCATATGGGAGCTATGAGGTCAAATCACAGGTCATATGAGTACTGTGAGGTTAATGCACAGGTCATAAGGTCATGTTGTGTGGATACTATAAAGCTATATTAGGTCAACACCACCGCTTATGTTTTAATATACTGAGTTACAAAAACGAGTCTGAGGAATTGATATTCAACTTTCCACTAACTCCTCTAAACTGTATTAAACTGTATCACGTGACTGTAATTAATAAACTGACCAATAATACAGTCATTTTTTTTACAATTACTACAAAATATTCTTGAAGGTACAATTTTACGCTTAACCACAGATCGTGATTTTTTTTATTTACTTAAATTTTGATACGAAAATAATGAGGCAGTTGTTTATCATTATAACAAATTTAGAGTTAAAGGTAAATTATTAAATGATACTGAAATAAAAACAAAACAAGTGATAGTAATTTAGAGATAAACGAGAGGTGAACACGAGGCAGGTAAGTGAGCGGGAGTTAGCGACACAGACCACGACAGTCCTCACACACACAGCCTCCCCCGGGGGCCTGACCTGAGGGAATCTGGCTAAACAAATTTGACTGTGAATAATTAGTTAAGTTATTAAAATAATCAAGAAAATGGAACTATAAAAATTATTAATTCTAATCCCCGATGTTCTCGTTAATTTAGTGCCATTGATATTGTCCAGAGTGTGTGTGTGTGTGTGTGTGTGTGTGTGTGTGTGTGTGTGTATGCACTTCACAAGCGGTCATACTTTCGATTCCCGATGAGAGGGAAGGGTGGCTCCCCTCCTCACACACTCAGTTATCGGGGCATTTTGCCGATAGAGAAACAACACTGGTGGACTGGTACAGGATGGTGGACTACCTCACTGTCTGTTGACAGGTGATGATCAGGACCAGCACCTGTCTGGCCACCCTGTACAGTACTTGTGTGAATTAAGATATCAAAAGCAGTTCACCCTTGAGGCACTTTATTAAGGTACTGCTTGACCTGAAGTGATTCAAAGGTGAGGTCAATTATGCAACATAAACATTACTCAAGCCTCCTACTAGCTGCTTCCTGGCGCCACAAGTCCATTAACCAACCTCAAGAAGACTCATCCCAACAAATACAGTGTAGACAAGTAAGAAACACTGAACCTGAAGCAGCAACACGGCCCGAGGTAGGGTAGGAGTAAGCTGGTGTTCAACTGCTAACTCTACCATTGGACCTGATTTGCCTCTTAACAGTAACTAGTCAGTGGCACGACGCTAATTAAACCAAACTTCACTAAACTTGATATCTGATTTAACCAGACCCTACCTTGTCTCGAGAGAGGGCGCCCTATAACCTGTCCACAACTCTATACACAAGGATCTAACTTATTTTGATAAGTTTGTCACTAAGCTTGTGGTCAAATGTGACGCAAGACCTTGAGGGGCCCACTAGGACTTGGGGTTCACGAGACCCATTGATCCCAGGTATCAATGGCCCCACATTTATTGGTCCATTAAGAATGCGGATCAATTTTAATTTTTCATTGAAATCGATTGTCATCAGGCCATACGACCAAGTGACTCCAGACTTGGGTTTATATTTTGAAAGTTACGTAATTAGAACCGAGGAAATTGCCCGGCTACCAAGAATGTTTTCTTAATTTGATTACGGGAAAATTTACTCTTTCAGGCCCCAAGAAAGTCTTCCTGGAACATCCGGTAATTCCAAACACCTGGACCTTACCACACTGTATATCTTTAATGAGCAGTATATATATATATATATATATATATATATATATATATATATATATATATATATATATATATATATATATATATATATATATGTATATATATATATATGTGTGTGATCTCACCTAATCCACCAATTTCCAGAGTGTTATTCGTCATCTTCAGTTCACAGGCTTGTGGTTTATAATCCGCTCAAACCCAATCCTCTCGCAGGAGGATTATCTTAGGGAGGGTTGTAGGGGTGAGGGTGGTAGGGGTGAGGGTGGTAGGGGTGAGGGTGGTAGGGGTGAGGGTGGTAGGGGTGAGGGTGGTAGGGTGAGTGTGAGGATATACGCGGAACTTCAGAATATCAAAATATTCCCTAAAATATTTTTATGGAGAAATTATAACACCAATAAGAGAAGAGGTTCACAAGCTTCACGTACTCTGCAGTAATGATCGTTCACAACACAAGGGAGGTGGTGGTACCCCTGGCTGTGTGGTGGTGGTACCACTGGCTGTGTGGTGGTGGTACCCCTGGCTGTGTGGTAGTGGTGGTGGTATCCCTGGCTGTGAGGCGGTGGTACCCTGTGGTGGTGGTACCCCTGACTGTGTGGTGGTGGTACCCCTGGCTGTGTGGTGGTGGTACCCCTGGCTGTGTGGTGGTGGTGGCACCCCTGGGTGGTACCCAGTGGTGGTGGCACTGGTACCCCTGCTGTGTGGTGGTGGCACCTGTGGTGGTGGTGACCTACCCTGTGTGTGGTGGTTACTCTGATCTGTGTGGTGGTGGTACCCTGGCTGTGTGGTGGTGGTACACCCCTGGCTGTGTGTGGTGGTGATACCCCTGGTGGTGGTGGTGGTACCCTCTGGCTGTGTGTGGTGGTGGTACCCTGGCTGTGTGGTGGTGGTGGTTATCCCTGACTGTGAGGCAGTGGTACCCCTGTGGTGGTGGCACTGGCTGTGTGGTGGTGGTGGTATCCCTGGCTGTGAGGCAGTGGTACCCTTGGCTATGTGGTGGTGGTGGTACCCCTGACTGGGCCGGTGATTGTGGCTGCCATTATACATATTTAATGTCTCAGTAATCTTTTATCACTATAGTATTATTATTTATAGGAAAGGTAATATTTTGTAAGTTATTATTAGACTTGATTATTTTATGGAGCATAATTATAAAACAAAGTAGAAATGTAGCTGTCTTTCTCTCTCGCTTAAGGGGGAAGGAATGCATACAGAGAGAGAGAGAGAGAGAGAGAGAGAGAGAGAGAGAGAGAGAGGCTCAAGAAGTCGTTTTCTTCTCTCTTCCCTTTCTTAGTAAAGAAATAGGACAACAGTTTCTTCCCCCTTCACCCTTCCTTTCTCTCTTCTTCCTCGGTCTCTTACACTTTCAAGAGAAAATAAGAGGAAAGAAGAAGGTGAGAAAGAAAGAAAGATTCACGGTCTCTCTCTCTCTCTCCTGAGAAAAGTGTAGTGAACTGTCGTGTTGGTTGTATAAGATAAACATGACACAAGTCACGATCCAGCCGGGGGGGGTTGGGGGCCTTGGGGAGGGGGTTTTGTTGTCCCTCACTGCGGGGACTGGCTGTGTAGTGGGGGTTCAGCCAAGAAATGTTAGCTTTACTTTTTATTAATTTCGAAAGTTATTTTTGTATTTCATTCTGTAAATACACCTTAGCTCACAAGTATGTCAGTATCAATAATTGTATTTTTCTATTATATATTTAAATTTTAATGACATGGAGAATAAAAAATTTATTTCACCAATATTTACGAAGTGTTATGGTAATAAGGTTTTTGGAAGGTAAAGAAAACGATGGGATTTATCGGGGTGACTACATTAATATACAATAACAGCGTCACTAGTTCGATGTTTATCCTGCCATGGTAACGGTTTACTGGCTGGATTTACATAGACTCTCAAGAGCTTTTCACTACACCTGTCACACAGTTTCTACCTGGCGACACTTTTATTAGGTACAGTATCTACCTTTTTTCATGATTCTACGGGGGAAAAAAGTATTTTCCAACACTAGCACCAGTAAATGATTTCTGAGGAAAAAACATGATAGGAGTAAAAGTATTCAGATTTTTTAATAATTTGACTGAACACACCACCTCCCGCCTCCCCAACACGCCAGGTGAGGAACTGTACAAAATGTAAGAGACAAGAACACGGGTACACTGGGAAGACTTGACACCCTGGGACACGCTTAAAGGATATCTCTCTCTCTCTCAACAATACGTCCACAGCAAGAGAATTTTAATATTCATATAATCCGAAACCTTTTCCTAGCTATCCGAGTCTTTTTTACTAAGGGGAAAGTTTCAAAGTTTCATGTTATACGACTGAAACAATATAAAACTGTTGAGGGTTTGGCTGGGGATTTAAAACAGTATTATTTTTTTTAGACAAAGTTGTGGTGATGTGTGGTGGCGTAGGTGTCCCTATAGCTCACTAGTCACCGGGGAAAAAAACAACAATACAAAGTTATATTCTAACAGTTGATAAATAAAAGGAAAACTAAACTGCAGGATGGGATTTTTACCTCAAATAATCTCAACTTAGATGATTTATTAGTTACTCTTCCGTCTCCTACCTTGTATAAATATTAATTGTTATCTCTGTACCGAGCGACTACAGTATATGCCAGTAGTCTTCCAATAGTTCATTTTTTTTGTATATTTGAGGTTTTATTAATAGACAGGTTTTACTCAATAAGAATTTTAAGGTAGTTCGAGGTTCTGGATCCACGAGTACACAGGAACACTACTAACGCTGTCTCTCTCTTTGTCTCGTTGAAGAAGGCGATGAGACCGAGTTCGACTGGTCTTCCTGGTGGAGCTATGACGGCATCTCAGGTCCTGGGTTCTGGGGTATTATCAACCGACGGTGGAAGTTATGTAGTGACGGCCGCAGGCAGTCTCCGGTCGACCTGGCTACTTCTTCAATTGTTTTCGACCACACCCTCTCCAGCCTGGCCCTCGCATCTCATAAGGTGAGGGAACTAACTCAGCGTGGCTTTGTTATGCACCTGACAGCCTGACACCTGTAGAAGTAATCAAAATAAATGATAGACAAGCCCCCAAAAATATCCAATGGGCTTTGACTATGTTTTCAAACCTTAGTTAAATTATGAACATTTTATACAGTTTTCTCTCTCTCAAACCCATGCGTGGTGTAGCTCTGAGTGACAGGAATCAATAGCAACACAAACCCTCACTTGCTGTCATTCATTCTCTCTAATAGCATAGATTTAATCCCTCTTCCGTGTTTCTCCCAGACTAAGTATCTCTCTGGTGCTACTTACTCCAGCCTGACCTAAACATCCTGTAATTTATCACGTAATTTCACCAACTCATTTAGAAACACTGTACCGTATTCTTCACTTTTAATATATCACCAGTATATGTCTTCTTTTGCTCTAACCTAAATACCTGCTGACACCTGCCATTCATCAGTGCTTCTGCTACTCTCCTTATTGTAGCCGCACACACACACACACACACACACACACTAAGGCATCACGTTCACACTTAAACATCTCATTATTCTATATTCTTTTTGGTGACTTTCAAGGATGTAGGATGTATTATGGCTGATGTTAGTGGTGTAGAAATCGGTGTTCAGTCGTAGAAGGTTCATCCATATTGTAAAACCTGACCACATATAACAAAGGTACATGTATTGTATAATCTCTTCTTGTGTGTTAAGTATATGATAATGACTGTAGACTGATATAATAATTTTTAATTATATTGTTATATTAACCTCAAGAACTTACCTTCGTCTTTACCTGTGTTGTGGTGATGAGTACAGGTGGATGGGACGCTAACCAACACGGGTTTTGGCTTGAGGTGGTCAGTTGATACGGGACAGGTGTGGCAGGTGTCAGAAGGGCCCATCCACTATGCCTACACTCTCACCCACGCCGTCCTTAGGTGGTCCAACGCCGCCCGCACCACCCACACTGTTGGCTCCGAGCATAGTATCCAAGGCCAGATGTTCCCAGCTGAGGTAAGTGGGCCAAGGTGTTTGTCTCTTTCAGGTAAACTCGTGTTATTATCATCGGAAAGGTGTTGTGGGCCGGGACTAAGAGAATTGATTTATATACGTATTACTAAATGAATACATACACGCATACACATAGACACACACACGCACATACACATACACACACGCACATACACACGCGCACACACCTGGGAGACAAATATCACTCCCAAATGTGTTTCTTTGTATTGGATCGCATGACGTGGGACGCTGATGGAAACCCTCCAACACATCGTTCACTAATGGAGGCAGATGTATTGTATGTGTGTGTGTGTGTGTGTGTGTGTGTGTGTGTGTGTGTGTGTGTGTGTTGAGATCTTGTGCAGCTCTAGTACACACACACACACACACACACACACACCTGGTAAACAGTTTTGCATCGTTGATTTAAGACTCACTGATATAAATCACTTCGTTGTTCTTGGTAGAGATTACAGAAAAGATCAAGTCCCTGGAGAAAAAAAATAATGAAGGAAATAGACCAAGTAACAACCTCTGCTGCCTCCTCCTCCTCGTCACAACAGCCATGGGAACTGTCCATCTGGGACACGTCTCGCTGCTGACACAGAATGAACTGGGACTCGGGTTCCCTCAAGGCCGTGAAGAAAAGGGTACAGACGGTGGGGCGGGGCGGGGCGGGGCGGGGCGGGGCGGGGCGGGGCGTACGTCAACAACACCGAAGACACAATGTTTAGTCGCAGTAGATTTTCAAGAATACTTTTTCAGTCACAGCTTTAATGAGAGGATGTGATCATAGTGTTATGTGTCATAGTGTTGTCATAATGTCATACGTCATAGTGTTGTCATGGGTCATAGTGTTATCATGCGTCATAGTGTTGTCATGCGTCATAATGTTGCCATGCGTCATAGTTTTTACCTGTACCGTATTGTTATTTTCATTCAAAATGTAGTCATGACTCCTAATATTACCACAGGAAGGCGACAGTCACTCTAACAGTAAATGATTGAACTTTACAAAGATCTAAGGAACTGTTTGAGGTGTTGTAGTTCTCACACACCCTAAGAACCACCGTGTTTCCCAGCGTCTATTGTGAGGACGCCACCCGGGAGGACGCTAGACTAGAGAGTGTCCCTTTGTACACCACTACTTCTACCGTCGGTTATAATGACGTTACCTCCGAGAACCCCGTCACACTTAAGAGTCTCCTCGTGGGCGTTACTACCATAGGACGTTACCCTGGAGAAGGCAAAGGACACGTAGAGCCGCCTTTCTCGTGGTCGCTACTCGTCGCCAGGATCTACCGCCAGATAACTTTGTGGGGGGAATCGACCGCGAGAGGCGCTTTGTGAGGGTCAGCCTGAGGGTGTTTTCACAATTTTGATTTCTGAAGATATTTTTCCTCTTCCTCGTTCTGCTTCTCTCTGCTCAGTACACTCATGATTCTTGACACACGCAAACGAACGCACACACACACACACACACACACACACACACACACACCTCAGTGATATATTTTTTATAAATTTATATTTTAAAACAGATGATGTTGGGTGTAATAAAGGTCTTGACTCTTCTCTAACTACCAGCCAAACCCACAGAGCATTAGACGAAATAATAAGAAACAATGACCTTCAATGACCTTAAACTAGGCTGTAGAGTGTTGTTTCAGTGGACAGTCTGAAGGGAACTGTTTAATTACACAAAACACAAGTACGTAACATTTCTGAATGACCTTTGACACCGTGACCTTGACCTTTGTTTGAATTGGACCGAATGTGAGAACTTGGTGGAAATAACTAATCCTTCCCAAATCCAATGACATGCTGAAGACGTGCCCTCACCTTAATTTACTTGAAGATTAACCATCCTAATACTAACCTAATCTAATATTAACCTAACCTAACCTAACCTAACCTAACTTAACCCACCCAAGGATAGCAAAAGTTGTCCATGGTTTGTTGAGGTTACTGGCTTGGCTTGGCTTGGCTTGGCTTGGCTTATGGATAAGGAGGTTTTCAATGTGAGTTTTCCATCTACATATAAGAGTTATCTGCATTGACCTCCCTGCTTTGACGTTCGTGGGAGGAGGATCTCTTTATATCATAGCCTGGGGGTGATTCTGTGTGTATTACGAGGTCTTCTTACTTTCACTTTATAAACTTTTACTCCGGCAGCAAACGTCTCTTAATCAATTCTTTCCACTCGTCAGGGATTATATCGCGGTGAGGTTATATAATTAATCCGTATAATTAAATATCACTCGTATAAATATTCAGTAGTAGGTATCAGAGTACTCAGATTACCAAGATCTCTAACCACGGTAATTGCGTAGTTGCGTAACTTATGAGGATGTGATTATGACGTCATTAAGGTTGAACTACGTGAAAAATTGTCGTGTACTTTGTAATTTATTCATTAAGTTGTAATATATTCAGATCAAAAGCCTTTAGCCTCGCGGTTATAATATCAAATATTAATAGAATTCTCTTCTTTTTTTTCCGGGGTAATGTGAGCTTTGATGACCGCACTATGAAATCACACACCTACTGAATCTTATTAGGATGATCTACTTACAGAGAAACTTCTATTTAACAGACTGTATAGAGAAGAAAGTCCGTAATATCGAGGGTCTGTTAGATGTGAAACCACTATGTGATGAACTGTATAGAGATGAAAGTTCGTTATATCAAGGGTCCTTAAGATGTGAAAACCTTCCATCTAACGGATTATACAGAAGTCCGGTATATGGAGGTTTAACTGTACTAAATTTCACCAACATCCATTTACACTAGTTCAAATGTTCTACTGTTACAAATCCATCAATTTCTATTCCACAAATATTTGTTTTCTTCTGTATTCACAAGGTCAATACACAACAACATACCACCTCCATTCTATAACTTCAATCTCAAATATTTTCATGGCCAAGTTGACAGTCTGTAATACATTTTTAAAACCATAATATGAAAGTGGATGTGAATATTTCATGACACGAGGAGGTATTGGAATGTACTGTAGCAAATCTTCATGAGTTTCTGGGTCTCTGGGTCACACACACACACACACACACACACACACACACACACTTCCATCTAACGAATTATATTGAAGAGGACAATCCGTTATATCAAAGTCCGTTAGATATGACCCCCTATCTAACGGACAGTATAACAAAGAACACTCCGTTAAATGGAAGCTTCACTTATCCATTAAAATCTAGACAATAATTCACAATGATCCTTCAGTAATGCCAAACAGGCCTACACCATCATCCTATTACATAAGTTTATTATACTCTGTGACTCTACCATTATAATCCATAGCACTTAACTCCATAGCACTTAACTCCATAGGCACTTAATTCCACAGCACTTAATCCATAGCACTTACCTCCATATCCTCTGTAAATATTCAACAAAGTATTAACAAGGTATTAACAGCTATGATAGTTAATGGACTAAGACAAGTAGGCAATTAGGATTTTCTGATGATATTCTAATTGCCTTTGGTTTAGAGAAATATATATATATTTTACGTGGATGTTATAAATGTTAAGTTTAATGGAACAATATTGATATAGATAAAATTTAAAGAGTTGTTAGAGTATTATGTGAAAATAAATACATCAGTGTAGATAATTAACAAGACAGTTTTATTTACAGGTAGAACTATTTATTTTATTTACAACTACATTTTCTATTCATTTACACTTACAAATATTTAATTCATTTACAGTTAACTTTGATATTAAACACAGAACATATAACTAAGAACACAAGCAGCATTAATTCCCCTGTACCAATATCTGATTACTGTAACGTCAAAGGTAACTCTAAAGATGAAAAAAAAAACTGTAACTGTATTTAGTAACTTTATCACGAGTTACAAAAAGTTAGGTAAATTGATCAGGTTAATTAGACGGTTCTTTGATGTCTGCTCCATATAAACGATTAATTAAGAGGATATATACAGGTTAAGAATGCTGCTGCTTTGTATCGTTAATCCTCTATCGTTAATCCTCTATCGTTAACCCTCTATCGTTAATCCTCTATCGTTAATCCTCTATCGTTAATCCTCTATCGTTAATCCTCTATCGTTAACCCTCTATCGTTAATCCTCTATCGTTAATCCTCTATATCGTTAAATCCTTCTATATCGTTAAATCCTTCAATATCGTTAAAATCCTTCTATATCGTCCTCTAGCGATGACATTATAACCTCGATACCTAACCTGATCCCTAATCCTTTTCCCCCACCAATACCACCCCAATAGGCTCTTGCGCTCTCCCACTCTCACCTTTCCCACTCTCACCCCTCCCACCCCTCTTACCCCTCCCACTCTCACCCCTCTCACTCCCACTCCTCTCACTCTCACCCTTCTTCTCTTGGTCCAACCTTCCCTCCCCAATTTGTCTCTACGCTGACAACATGCATGCCGTACCACAGTAAAGGATGTTAAAATGAGGGAATAATTAAGAAAGAAATAAAAATGTATAATGATAAGGGTAAGAAAAACACTTCATTCGTTACTGTAAAAATGTGAATCGTTGAAAACCTTGTATATCGTTAAAAAAAACTTCTATATCGTTAAATTCCTTCTATATCGTTAAAATCTTCTATATCGTTAAAAAAAACTTCTATATCGTTAAAATCGTTATATATCCTCTTATTCCTACTATTTATCTTGATTCCCTTCTTCATCGCCTTCTTCAATACAGGATTTCAGTTATGGTAGTGATAATAGTGGATATCAACATTAGTTTCTTTTTAATCTTCAGTATGTTGGTGTTACTTTCTTCTCATCAATAATATCTCAGGTTAATTACAGTAGAACCAGGTGTTAAAAATCTATCTTAATTATCAACGTGGAATTCAACTTGAGTGACTCGTATTTTTATTAACCCAGTTGGTGAACTTATGATCTAGAGAGAGAGAGAGAGAGAGAGAGAGAGAGAGAGAGAGAGAGAGAGAGAGAGAGATGATACGCTATCACAGTCCAGGT